GATTCAAGATTCGAAGTGTTTGAGTAGGATTCGAGGGAAACTGGGGCTGGATATGGATAGAGGAAGAGGAGAGGAGCCTAGGGTGTTATTTTGGAGTGGTTTGGACAATCGCCGCCGGCGGAGGCGATTTTCGGCCGGCGGCTTACGGCGGGGAATGGCGGAATTAGGGTTCATGTGTTTGAGTGATCTGAGAGATGGAAAAGGGGTAGGGGGGCGTTAAGACAGTTTATATCAAAATCTATCAATTCCTGACCGTTAGATCAAACAACCTAGACGGTCAGGATTGATTGTCGTGGAAACGACGTCGTTTGAGCTCTAAGTGGCTGAACCGGATCGAGAACCTTTGGGCTGGGGTCAATTTGAAATGGGTTTAAGGGATTGGGCTAGATTTCAAACGGATTTGGCCCAAAAATGGGTAATCCATGAAGATCACTCAATTTTCTTTTTAATTGTTTTCTTTTCTTTTCCCTTTTTATTTCTTTTATTTGTTTTCATTTTGTATTTTTATATTTTTTTAACTTTATTAAAATGCAAAATCAAAGACCTAATTTGTTTCCAAAATTAAACTAATTATTTCCTAAAAATCTATTAAATCCTATTTCCATGACAAATTCAACAATTAACAATTAAAAATGCAAAAATGGACTATTTTTGTTATTTTCTTTAAATTTTGTTCTAAAAATAACTTAACCACTAAATAATCCTAAAATATGAAATTAGATCCTAAATGCAAATGTCATGCGTATTTTTTATATTTTTCATATGAATTAAAATGCACAAATAAAATGCAAACAATTAACAGAAAATAACACAAAATTCACAAAAGTGTAAAATAATGAAAGAAAAATTATTTTATTTGAATTTTTGGGAATAATTCATATATAGGGCAAAAATCACGTGCTCACACAAGTCACATAGCAACTATTAAGCATAAAATGAGCAGTAAATGGAGGAAGGAGACTACAACACTCAAAACGATCGGTCAAATCATTACAAATAACAACTTAAAAGATAAAAGAATAAAACTAAAAATATGTAAGGTAAGAACTTATTTGACAAAATTAAGTAATGGGAGCAAACTGGATGAAAAATCACTAGAGTGATCTAAAATCCTAACATGATCAATATTTATTAGCTTAGGAACTTATCTTTTGTTAATTTTTATTTTATAACTCAATCAAAAATTTTAAATATTAATTAAATTATTTAAAAAGTTTATTTTCATTGATATGCAGATTAATATCAAGTCCTAAATATGATTAAAATCTATTATTTTTAGGAATTTGTAATTTTTTGTTAATTTTTATTTCATATCATAAATATATGTTATGAATATACTATTTTCTATTATTTTAAGAAGTTTATCTTCGTTGTTATACACGCGCGACGCGCGTACCCTATAACTAATATAAGATATGTTGGCAACTCTCACTGTAATATGCTTATAAAAGCAATTTAATCCATTCAAATGTCAGATTTAACTTTTCAGAAAGTAACGTTAGAAATATTACAGTAATAGGCCAACATTAGAGTAATAAGCCATTAAGGCTATTTAATAGTTATGCCAAACTTCAGTTACACATTTTTTCTATTATATATAAGTGGTTAAAGGTGGACGAACACGGCATCTGACAATGGTACAAAAAGTAATAAAAGTTGTATGAAGCTATGGATCTTCATGACGCGTGTACTATACTAAGCAAACACGTGTACTTTTTTTAATTTGAAACATTCCTCTTTTCTCTCACTTAACCCCTTTACCGATTTACCTAATCCCTTTGATTTTTCTCTGCTTCTCCTGCTTCCCCTCTCTCTGTCACACACACGTTGGAGCTTACAGATGAATATAGCAGCATTGTTAAGTGTTTTTCTTCAAAGGCTTTAATGTGGCTGATCTCATCTACTGAAAGGGTCAAACCATATCCAATACTCCTACATACAGAATCATCTACCTCTATCTATCTGTGATAATAGAAAGTTTGGTTTTGGGTCTTTTTGATTCTTTCACTCTTCGTATAAGTGGATTGAGTTTCTCAAACTAAATAATTTTTCCTTGAGTTTTACAGTGTCCTTGTCTGTATTTTGTCTTTGGAGATCTTCTATTGTTTGTTTGCTCTTTTCCACTTTGTTATATCTGCCTTTTCTAATGTACTCAAATTTGTTCATTGTTTTGTTTATTTATTGTGACGACCCGATCCGTCGTCTTATGGGTTACCGCTCCGTTTCCCCCATTTTTCAGCTTCTTTATGCTTCAATATCCGTATCTTATGTGACTGAGTTGGTTTGGAGAGGTTTTGGTAGGAAATGAGACACTTAGTCTCTTTAAGGTAGGTTTGGTTTGGAAAAGTCAATCGGATGTTGACTTGTGTGTTAGAGGCTCGGATGTGATTTTCGGTGATTCGGTTAGCTTCGGGAGATGATTTGTGACTTAGGAGTGTGACCGGAAGTGGTTTTGGAGGTCCGGTGTAGAAATTACTTGTTTTGGGGAAGTTAGTATTTGGGTGATTTCCGGTTGGCAGGTGATTTTGGTTAGGTTTTTGATCGAATGCGTGTTTCGGAAGTTTTGGAAGAACTTAGGCTTGAATTCGATGAGAATTGACGGTTTTAGTGTTGTTTGAGGTGTTTTGATGATTGGAACAAGTTTGGATGATGTTTTAGGATGTGTTGGTACTTTTGGTTGAGGTCTCGGGGGCCTCGGGGTGATTTCGGATGGCTAAACGGGAAGTTTGAGTCTTGGAGAGATTGCAGAAATGCAGCAAATGTTGCAGGTTCGATTTGGCCTTCGCGATCGCGAGCCTGGGGCCGCGATCGCATAGAAGGATTTGAGCAGGCCGGAGTTTTACTTACGCGTTCGCAATAGATGGTCCGCGATCGCGGAAGGGAAGTTATTGGTTCTTCGCGTTCGCATTGAGGAGTCCGCGTTCGCGTAAGAGGACCTGGGGACCCAGCTTATCTGTTCATCGCGTTCGCACCAAGAAGATCGCGTTCGCATAGGCCAATCTGGAGGCCTTGGAATATTGCTCTTCGCGATCGCGAGCCTGGGGACGCGATCGCATAGAAGAAAAGCACAGCTGGGCAGAAGGGTTTTTAAAACATTTCCTCCGCGAGTCTAAGCCATTTTTCCTCCATTGTTGAACATTTTGAGAGCTATTTGGGAGAAGTTGAAGAGGTTTTCGAAGAGGATTGATTGGAGGTAAGTTTTATGAACTAGAAACATGATTTAATTGTGGAACTAACCTAAAAATTTATGAAAACTTAGCAAAAAGGGGAAGAACTAGGGCTTGGAAATTGGAGATTTTAGATTGGGTTTTGATGGGTCATTTGAGCTCGGATTTGAGAGTTCTTGATATGTATAGACTCGTGGCGAGATAAGGAACCCATTGATGTAAAAATTTCTGAGTTTCGAGAAGTGGGCCCGGGGCTCAGGTTTTGCAAATTTCGGGATTTTTGATGTTTTTCGATTATTTTCGATTGGGTTTTGTTCCCTTAGCCTATTGTGACGTATTCGTTGTGGTTTTGGTCAGATTCGACGCGTGGGGAGGCAAATTTGAGAGGCAACGGCATAGCGAGCTAGAGTTTTGGCCGGCATGAGGTGAGTAGTGATTGTAAATGATGTCCTCTGAGTTTGAAACCCCGGATTTGCACAACGTAGTGCTATATTGAGGTGAAACACGCGCTTAATGACGAGCGCGGGGTTGTTTACTATTGGGGATTGTGACTTGGTCCGTCCCGATTGATGTTTAACCGCGTATTTGACTGAGACTTGTTTGTTATCATCATGATTTGAGCTTATTGCCATATTTGGGCTCCATACCGACTACTTGAATCCTTCGTGGACTTTTATCACTGTTTCCTCACTATTTTAACATATTACTTGAACTCAGTCCTATTGATTTATACTGCTTTACAAACTCAGCCACTTTTACTTGAATTTTTAGACTTAAATGATATTTCCAATGTTGTTTGGGCTGAGCACTACTGTTTTGCTAATGCCCGAGGGGCTTGTGATGATCTCTGGACTGAGTGAGGCCGAGGGCCATATGTGAGGATATGCTGAGTGATATGAGATACCTTATACGCCACGAGGTAGCTTGAGTGATGTGAGGCCGAGTGCCGAGTGATGATGCCACGAGGTGGCTTGATATAGCGCTTGGGCCGTAAGGGGCCCCTCCGGAGTCTGCACACCCACAGTGAGCGCGGGTACCCATATGATCTGAGAGTGAGCCCGAGGGGCTGATACTATGCTGAGTGACTGAGAGTGAGCCCGAGGGGCTGATACTGAGAGATTGATACTGAGCCCGAGGGGCAGATTTCTACTTGCTATTTACCTGTTGTTTTACCTAATTTACCTGATTTTAAAAGAGATTTCATTTGATTCTTCACGGCGTTTACTGCTTTAAGTGATTTACTGCCTGATATAGAATTGCTTTGTGCCTTCATGTGTTTTCATGCTATCAGTCATTATTTATAATTATTACTCACTGGGTCGGAGTACTCACATTACTCCCTGCACCGTATGTGCAGATTCAGGCATAGCAGAGTCCGCTCCTGAGCGCTGATCCTTCCAGACCAGGCAGTGATTTGGAGTTACGAGGTAGCTGTTGACGTCCGCAGCCCCGTGTCTCCCCTATCCTCTATCATTTATGTTTTCTTCAGACTATTGTATCGGACTTCGTACTTTGTGGACTTATAGCAGATTCTGTAGTAGCTCATGACTTGTGACACCCCGGTTTGGGCTGTGTCGGGATGGGTTTTCCTTGTTATTATCGCTGTTTCCGCAATTATGGCTATCTTAAACATATTTTAGATTTGCTTATGTTAATTAATTGTTTAAAAGAGGTGTTTCGTTTGTTCTGGTTGGCCTTATCTTCACGAGAGGCGCCATCACGACGGGTTCGGGAATTGGGTCGTGACATTTATCCTTTAGGGTTTCTGTGCACATAATCATGATTGGCGAAATAGATTCAAAAAGCATGAAAATGGAGAAAGAGAAGATTTCTGAGTTCCGCTAAATTTTCCTCTATTCTTTCTTGGTGAGCAGTAAATCTTTTCTTCTATTTTTATAGAATATTGATTTAGAATTTTCATTTTTCTACAAAAGTTATTTTTTACTTTGTGCTTTATTTTTCTTCTTAATTCAATTTATAAGATTTTGAATTGTTGATTTACATGTAGTTTTTCTCTTTTTATCAAAATTGTTTTGGGTGGGTTCTGTGTGTCCATGTGGTTATTTTGTTCAAACTCTTCTATGAATTTTTTTCGCAGGTAAACAAACTGTAACAACGCTAAGCACATTGAATTTCCTCTGGACAAAAACTTCTACTTAAAAGGGAAGAACAACTAAGGTGCTTGACGATATGCGGAAATAACTAAATAATTTCATATTCCGTATTTCTTCTTCTGTAGGTGATTTATGATATAAATATCTATCCTTAGAACACAAATATGTGACGTTTGGAAAATATTTTGGTAACTATACATATGGCACTGAAAATGCAGCATACCCTTTCATGGTGCCCTACATTTTCACAATGCTGCATTACTAATGTCGTTTCATCGGAAATTCATCATTAATTGAAAGCTTTCATTCTATCTCTCTGTCTGGAGATCTATTTAAACACTAAGAAATAGATAATTAATTTCATTAATTCTCTCTTCGTCTCATTTGACGACTAGGTCAGTAGAAATCTGTATCAATACATTCCTTCTTATGTGTTTGTCAACCTATTGATGATTAGATGCAGTACTTGTGAATCTGTGATATTTGAGCTTCTTGATTGCCTCTCTATTTCCATTGCATAATTAAAATATGATATTTCCGTTTTGGTTGTTCTTTATGTTATGTGGCTTCTGAAACTAAGTAGTTTTATTATCTATTGTTAGTGTAGGAGATGGATTCATTCACTGACTCGCCCTGCGATTTATGAGGTACTACTGTGTTCTGTTGTCTTTTAGATGCATGATCTGCTTGATAGTAAACTACATGCAGCTCATATTAAGAGGGAAGAGAATGAATGTCACGACCCATTTTCCATAATAGGTCATGATGGCGCCCGACACCATTGTCAGGCCAGCCAACGCGGAAGTGTAATTTAAGTCCTCATTTTTCTTTTACCAAAAACTAATTATAACAGATTTTCAAAGTTAAGTTAAGGCCAAGAGTGGTAAATAAGGTATCAAAATAGTTATACAACCCAAAAATAAATGTCTACTAACGTGTGTGTGCCAGAACCTGGTGTCACAAGCTACGACAGCTAGTAGAATATACAACCCAAAGAATACTACACTACCCTACTGCCTGGATCAGAATAGACAGAAATAACAGTACAAGAGAGACTTCTTCGGCTGCGGATCGACATGGAAGAAAGAGCAGCTCACCGTAGAAGTCCCAAGCCTGCTCACAACTGCGCACCAGAGAAATAACCGGATCCACCTGCCTCAGACCCTATACATTTAAGTACAGAAGCGTAGCATGAGTACATAAAAAATATGTACCCAGTGAGTATCCCGCCTAACCTCGAAGGAGTAGAGACGAGGGGTCGACATGACACTCACTAGGGCCAAATGATATCATAAGTTTAAGTTAACAATAAAAATCTATAACAGGCAACAGTTTACAACTTGGCATATAAATCATATTCTCGCTGAGATTCCAATTATTCATTTACTTAATTCACAATTATCAATTCCTTTCGAGTCATGAAAGTGTAATCCTAATAGTTAACAAACTCAGGCAAAGCTATAAAAGCATGCGCAAATATGCCGAGGCGACGGCCCGATCGTACAGAAATAAACTGTGCACTTGCCGAGGGTCGACGGCGCGCCTATAGATGCATCTATTCATACCGAGGCCATCGGTCCGATCCACAAATAAGTAGGAATATCAAGTGTACACACAAGGATCAACAATAGTCATAATTGCCAAGCAAGACTTCAACATTTATACAAGTACGTTCTTATCCCCTTTTTAAAATCCCTAGCATATCCTAGGTGCTCATAGTAACAAGATATTAAATAGAGTCATATGAAATAAGCATGATGTGAGTCCTAAGCTACCCGGATCATTGACATAGTAGTAGCTATGCACGGACTCTCGTCACCTCGCACGTGCGTAGCCCCCGCATTTAGCACAATTATTCAATTATTAATCCTATGGTGACAGTTCCCCCTCACAAAGTTAGAAAGGAGACTCACCTCGCTCCAAAGCGCGCTCCCGAATATCAAGAACAAGCCCAAGCTCTTAATTCGAAGCCGAACGATCGCAAACTAGTTAAGATAGGTAAGAACTAGTCAATAAAGGCTCAAGAGGCCGAACTCTAACTATTTAAGTAATTTCCCAACCTTTCCCACAAGTTTCCTAAATTCCGACCCCAGGCCCACGCGCCCGGATTCCGAGAGTTTTCGAAGGAAATTGTTCTCTATGCCCTAAGGATCGATAATATATGATTTCTAGTTCATTACATAGTAAATTACTTGATTAAATCTTAGTTTTATCAAAATCCTAGGTCTAGCTCTAACCCTTGATTTTTACTTAATTTCTAGTGTTTAATCTATCTAATGTTCATGTATTTAAGCTAAGGGAGAGTGGAAATTACTTACCTTGTGATGATATGTGGAAACCTTCTCTTTGGAAGCCCCAATTTCGCCCAAGTGTGGAGAAGAATGTGAAATATATGCACTTAAGTTCGAATTAAAAGAGTTCACTGCCCAGCGATTTCTGCTTTTGCGGTTTGGGGGCCGCATCTGCGGTCCCGCACCTGAGGAAATAGGGCCGCAACTGCGGCTCTGGGCTAAGGGAGACTGGACCGCATCTGCGGTCTGAGAAGCGCTTATGCGGAACCGCTTCTGCGGAAATAGGGCCGCATCTGCGGCTTCCCTTGGGCCTGCCTTGGGCCGCTTCTGCGATCATTTGAGCGCATCTGCGGTCCCGCTTTTGCGGTCCTTGAACCGCAGATGCGGTTATGACAGAAGCAGCAGCCTTCAGCCTTTTCTCAACTTTCTAACTTCAGTCGAACCTCGGTCATTTGACGCTCGGGGCTCCCGAGCCCCGCCCGAACATACCGACAAGTCTGAAATCGCGAGGAGGACCTACTCGAACCCTCGGAACTCCCAAAACAACGCTAAATCTTATAATCATCCTCTAAAACCAAATGAATCAAACTATTGAATCCTTAAGTTCTTAATTCTCCTCTAACGGGTCAAAACGCCCTTAAACTACTCGGATTGACACCAAATTTTACGGGCAAGTCTTAAATGACATTACGGACCTGTACCAAGCTTCGGAACCAAAATCCGAGCCCGATACCTAGGGAATCGATTATTTCTTAGTTTCTTGAATTCTTTAAAGCTTCCATTAAATAATTTTAGATAAAAATTTATTACCCGGGCTAGGGACCTCGGAATTCGATTCCGGATACACGCCCAGGTCCCATATTTTCCCACGGACCCTCAAAAATTGTCAAATTACGGATCCGGGCCCGTTTTCCCAAAATGTTGACCGAAGTCAAACTTGGTCTTTTTAAGAAATCCTAAAGAAGCAAATGGGCATATTTTTACTCAAAACTCTACCAATCCCCGAACCAATCGCCCCAACAAGTCGTAAAGTAGTTAAAGAAAGTACGGGAGGCCTTATATAAGGGAACGAGGTTCAAAAAGGCTAAACGACCGATCGGGTCGTTACAATGAATTTTTGCTTCCTCAATAACTAAGAATTTTTTTCAGGTTACCCTTATTTTGATAGCGATGGCCAAGATATTTCATTTACTGAAATTCATATACTTATAGTGTATATAATAAAAGGAGTGGACGATATATATTGGTTTTGGGCACATTGATGTATTGTTCATGAGGAAAATGACTGCAAGAAGATAGCAACATAGCATGAGCGGACTTCTTTAGGCAAATAATTATCTTTTTATATTTATATAATAATGTGCTCTACTATTCTCTGTAGTCTCAACCAATTAAGATCCCTTAAGGCACCGTATGTCTCAATCATATTTGTTAACGTCAACAACAGTACCTCTAGCTCGATAATAACAGTACCTCTAGCTCAATAAGACAAAACCCTCCTTAAATAAGCATTAATATAGGGCAATATCCATTATATTGTTAATTTGTTTCAATCTTTCTTCACCGTATTTTCTTTTTATCATGACTTTCACTCATTCTTGATCAAATGAGAACCAAATTAAATGGTTGAAAAACTAAGTACACTAAATTAAATATGACCGGGAAAGCTACACTTGTGAAGGACATTGTTGCCACTATATATATGCCAAATCATGTGTTGCAGTTGTACTCACTCCCTAAGCCTGTCACAAATAGCACTGATAATATTCAAAGAAATTTTATAATATATGGGAATGCTATTGTTGACAAGAAGAAGTGTTGCCTCCTAATTCCTATACTCCGATATTATTACCAAGTGTAAAAATGAGGTAGGACTAGGCTTATATAAGAGACCCTAATGGAAAAACAATTCCTTGGTGGCATCTTTGGCCTGGAGGCTAAACATTACTTGCTAATACCAACAAAACCTAGATTCTCAAGAATTATCATAGCAAGAAGTTTATTAACTCCATGTTTGTTGGGTTTTGTTAATTAAAACAAAAGAGGTGTGAATGAAAAATGGTGGGATAAGAAATGAAGGGAAATGAGATTTTGAATTAGTCATTTTTACTAAGAAACTTTGTGTCACGACCCCAAATTCCAAAACCCGGTCGTGATGGCGCCTCTTGTGAAGACAAGGCCAGCCAGACCAAACCGAACACCTCTATTAAACAGTTAAATTCCATAAACAGTGGTTAAACATGATATAATAGTCATAATTTGCAAAAATAACGATAACAATAGGAGAAACCATCCCGACACAGCCCAAATCAGGGTGTCACAAGTCATGAGCAACTAAGAAATTCAGATATGAGTCTACTAAACACTAAATCCAGTACAATAGTTCTAGGAACATGAAAATGATAATATAGGGAAGGCACGGGGGCTGCGGACGCTGACACCTACCTCGTAATCTCCAAATCACTGCCTGTACTGGGAGGATCAGCATTCAGGAGCGGACTCTGCTATGCCTGAATCTGCACACACGGTGCAGGGAGTAATGTGAGTACTCCGACCCAGTGAGTAATAATTATAAATAATGGCTGAAAGTATGAAAGCACGTAAAGGCACAAAGCAATTCTATATTAAGCAGTAAAATCACTTAAAGCAGTAAATCAGAGAAGAACCCCAATGAAATCTCTTAAAAACAAGTAAATCAGGTAAATTAGTAGGTAAATAACAAGTAGAAATCCGCCCCTCGGGCACAGTGTCACTCACTCAGAACAATATCAGCCTCGCGGGCTCACTCTCAGTACAATATCAGCCCTTCGGGCTCACTCACTCAGATCAAATGGGTACCCGTGCTCACTGTGGGTGTGCAGACTCCGGAGGGGCCCCTTACGGCCCAAGCGCTCTATCAAGCCACCTCGTGGCATCATCTCTCGGCACTCGGCCTCACAACACTCAAGCCACCTCATGGCATATAAAAGTATCTCGGCCCTCGGCCTCATATCACTCAGCATATCCTCACATATGGCCCTCGACCTCACTCAGTCCGAAAATTATCATAAGCCCCTCGGGCAGTTGCAAAACAATAGTTCTCAGCCCAAAACATCATTTAAGTTTCAAATCTGAGTAAAAGTGGCTAAGTTTGTAAAACAGTAGATATTAACAGGACTGAGTTCAAGTAATAATTCCAAGCAGTGAGGAAATAGTGATAGTGTAACGACCCGACCGGTCGTTTTGAGCTTTTGCACTTTGATCGCCAGTTCTCAGGCATGACTTGCCCCGTGTGATGTATTATGACTGATATAGATCGTTGTTAGTTTTCAGGAAAATCGGAATGAATTTGAAAGAAGAGTCTCAGTTGA